TAACTGTTTTACTAGAATATGTGGTATTATTATTACTATCAATATATTTGATGTACTAATTAAGAAACCTTCTCTTAAAATTTTTCGTACGCATCGTTGTTCATCGTTGTAAGCTTTCCATTTCTTTTTTTAATAACTAGAGATGACCAAACGCGCGCTTTGCGCGCGCAGTTTGTAGTTGAGCATTGTATATTTTTAAGAATTTGTATACATGCAACGAAGTAATTGTATGCGCAACGTCAATTTAAAATAAAAAGTAATTTATCACTCACTAATACGATTCGCAACCGCAGAGTTGTACATCATGTATGTTAAACTGTAAAAATACAAATATGTATATGATTAGTATAGACTAATTGTGTCAAATCGAAATTATTGTATTAAATATGCTTCATATTTTATATTTTTAAAAATAGGTATTTATTAAGATAATTATATAAAATACTAAAAAAATCTTCCTTTTAAATATAAATTCACAAAATTTTATACATTGGTTCTGTCTCTAATACTTATTCGACTCCTCGTTCGAATCATTTGAACAAATAAAATAAAAACACAGAACAGATGCTTTATTTTGCACAAGTAACAATTAAATAACATAAAAATATAAGACACTTACCTTACGATTTCTCCGCCGTTGCCCGATGCCTCCTCGGCCTCCTCCTCCTCTCAGATTTCCATGTTGCACTTACACAACACTCACTCGCGAAAATCATCGATCGCGCGAAATTTCGGGCACTCCCGTACGCGATGTGAATTACCGCGAACACACGAAATATTATGAACTTCTGCGTTATTGGTTTCCAAGACTTTCTGTCGTACAAATTACTCAAACTAACAACTTGCATTTTTGATTCGGAAGAATAGGACAATGGATAAATCACTTTTGAATTGGTGATATAAAACGCAACGCGAGCATCGGAAGCATAATCTGCGGCAAAGAAATAATGTAACGACGTGCAATAAGCGACTTTCTTTACTTCCCGCCCGTTCGAGTTGCAAAGAATGCCAGAGCGAAGTCGTACAAATTTCTCTTTTTTCCCGAAAATGGAACAGATTACACGAAATCGACAGATAATTAAAAGCGCGGTGCGTAAACGAGATGTAACCGCGACAAAGTACCACGGTTTCATATTTTAGATGAGTTAATCTCGTGAAATATCTAGGTACACGTTGATAAAGATCCGTCGCCTCAATATACAATTCGTTTCTCTTTGCAAGTTGTAAAAACTTAATGATTAATCAAGGAACGTTACTTGTTACTGATAAAGGTGTGCAAATCAATAGTGTTTTATCCCTGCATTCATCGCGATCGAGTCTTGGAAACCGATAACGCAAAAGTAATACCACGCACGGAGCGACTCTCGCCACTGCTTGCCGGCTCGACGTTCGGCGAGCGAATGATACCGCGGCGACCTTCAGATACACGATGGCACGCAAAAACATCGTACGTCACCGCGCCGAGAGAAAAACAACAAAAAAACGTTGAGAATTCGTTGTCCCGCCTACGAAATAGAACATTCCGTACTTAATATTTTACATTACTTTGTTCCGTGACTGTTACTACGTTTTGTGTATTACTCCGCGGACTTATTGGTATTGATTAAGTTAACGATTAATTCTGTTCATTCGAGAAAATGTTTCGAAAGAAAAACCGTTGTTACTTAAATTCTATAAATTACTAAGATTAGAGATTTTACTTCAATAGTTGATGCATACAAATGTATATTTCTAAATTGCAAATCTTCATTCACTATAAATCTAAAAGAGAAGTGAAGCACATCGCGCTTCGAGAAAACCAATCGACACCGCGGAAAAGAGGCCTCAACTGTATTAACGACATTCGCGCTGGTAACATTTCTTTTTTAGAAAGGGATTGTAAATATTCGAAATTTTTGTTTTGAGTAATTAGCAGTACATGTATATTCACATGTTTTAAAGCTTATTTAATATTTTTTTCTATTAAATTTAATACATAATAAGTTGATAATTGCCAATTATTATGGGATAATCCTCTACATTTATAGAAAAATGATTATATCTGTTTCGCAACTGCTAAATGCATTTCTCTAAATTTATTTATAAAATTCGTATGGCTCAAATGTGATAAACACAAATTTGAAAGAATAAAGGCTAAGAGCCGTGACAGGGTGTTAATGTCTAAATATTTCAATTATATTAAGACATTAACGCCCTGTCACGGCTCTTACAATTAGTCCTTTATTCCTTCATCTATCTATTTACTTATTACATATATATTTAAGTAAAAAACTTTTAAAAGTTTATAATTTCTTAAATAAAATTGTAAAGTGATTATTTTTTCGATCATTAAAATTTTTTCTCCATACTTTAAAGTTTTTTGTAAACGTAGGAAAGAAGAAACAATTAAAAATGTGCAATGTATTAGACTAATAAAATAGATAGTGCTAATTTGTATCCGTCGATTTCTTTCTAGGTACTTTCATCTCTATAGAGCCCCGTTATCTCCTGATATATATTTATTTCCTTGTGCTTCAGTGGTTACACGAGAAGTCGGATTGTTGTCCGTGCAGAAGAAACGCGATTTGAATATGAGGACAGGTAAGTTTCTCACCGAGACACTCAATCCAGGAAAAGTTTTCGATTGAAAACTCGATGGGGAATACTAGCCAGCCAATCGAATCACCTTTTTCACTATCATGTTCAAGTATATTAATCTTGTTTATAAAGTAGAAATACTTGCATTAATTTCCTTTATATTCGACACATCCCTGGCGGAAATAATTCTACAAGATTCTACAAAAAAATATATACTGTCAGAATTTCTGACTAAGAACTAAGAAATTCTACGTAATTTAAAAAGTGTTATAAAAATCAACATAAAAATGCTAGAATTGGAACGCTTTTGTGAATTTTTGTAATATTCTACAAAAGTAAGCAGATGTTTTAATTATTTGAGATTTTGTTGCTTCTCAAATCTTTTAAACTAGTACAGTTTCGTACTAATTTTTACAAAATTGTACATTTTCATGAAATACTACTTGCAATAATTTCTTGATTTGAGAACATTGTAACTTGTGGTACTAATTCGTAGATATTTTTACAAAAAAAAAAAAGAAATGTTTCAACGAAGATATAAACATTTCTATTTCAAGTTAATTTTTACTTATTTATAGAAATGTTTTCCGCTAGGAATGTATGTTACCTTGATCCTTTTTACTTTTAAGATGTAGATAACAAGATTCTCTGTATTATGTTTCTTTGTACTAAAATGTCTCAGTTAACTTAAATTTTACTATTAGCACCTTTGGAATAAATTTCATAAGATTTGCAGCAAAGAAATGAAACGTTAACGACATCATTACGAGCTTATATAACATATAAGCTCCTAATATGCGACAGCAGAGTTTTTGCTAAATTAATAGGCATCATTTATTGGCTAATTATTGATTTCATCGTTAATTTATTGCCCTTGGAGTGAAATCTGTTTAGTGAAAAATTCATTGTTAGATCGTGTAATCGTTGTGAATAAAGATTTGTGATTAAACTTTGATGTTGAAAACTTGCTATCTCATATTAGAAGCCTATCTCGTAATAGAGGACTTTACTATAGAAAAACTGTGCAGAATATAATGATATCGTTAACGTTTATAGAATAGACCCCTTAGTCAGACGTAGCTTACGATTTGTTGAAACGTTTACAGAATAGGCCCCTAAGGTAACAATTCCACTTTGGAAAGCGGTCTGATTTAGTCTAATGTATTTGAAAATCAGTTTTTGAACGAAACGCGACATATATCACAAACGAGGGAGCCGAAGAAGCGGCTGATTTTCAGATATACATCCAAGCGTTCACAAGCGATATCAGTAATCGACGTACGTGGTCACGGGCCATGTCAGCGCCTAACGGGGCAATCGTGCAGAAACGGTAGATGGTAGCGTGGAACGAGACGAATGAAGAGGAAGAAAAGAGGACGGTGTGAGGAAAGCGGAGGATGAGGACGCAGGGAGGATATCGGGGGACTCAGAATCAGGCGGTGCATCGTTAATGCAGATTGCCCGATTGTGAGTTTCATTCGATGAATCATATTCTTTCCGGAGTGCGTGTCTGCACGCATATCGAGACACGTATTGTCGAGGGTTTGAGAGTACCCGGTGACTCATCGTGAAATTTTCTAGTGTACGATCCCGAAATAACGCACCCTAAAGTCCCGCGCTATTTCTTTAGATAAGAAAGAGTGCCCTTCGTTTACGCTGCATCTGCTCTATAACTGTTCTTTCAAATGATGACAGGCGAGAGCAGTATTGAAACAAATTTGATAATTTAGTCGTTTAGATTTTACGAACCCTATAAACGTAGCTTGGAGGAATTATTTATTTTGAGCCATGTTTCCAAATTTTCTGATAGTGTATTTTCCTCACGAATACCCGGGTCTAGAGGACTCGATTCGATTACGCGATTCCATCATAAGCAGAATTACTTCTGAATCGGGAAAGTATCAATCGATCGCGCGCGATATAAATATTCGTTCCGAGAAATTCTGGACGAGCAAAGAGATTCGAGAGAGTAATGCGTCATAGGCTTGTATCAGATATAAGCCAGAAATATTTGATAATAATATTTACAAGAAAGATATTGTTTTCACGTATTGTTTTTAATATGAATTTTCCGACGAAAAGCATACGAAAAAATCCAAAGATTCTGTCTCTCCCTGACAGAATGTATAGTATATTTCCGTGAAAAATACATTGAAAGGAATAAAATTACTCGATGTAAGCAGCAAATTAAATACAAATTGTCCATTGCGGCATCTAATTGGCAAATTGCTTCAAATCTAATTAACATTCCGATAATAATTTTATTTTGTGGTTTAAACGGATCTTTGGCGCACTTTCCATCGTAACGTATATCCACCCATTTATTCATCAATAAAAGGCGGAATAATATTTTTATTTTCAGCAAAGCACTATAAGCGCAAGCACGCATGTCACATAAAACATATATCATGCGGAGTACTCACTTATCTTCTCCATCTGAGCCGCCCATTTTGCATCATTCGATCTCTGTTCCAGTTGAGCCATCGTCGCGACCGACCCTGCAATCGATAGGACGAATGTAGCTGCCAGAAAACTCGCCACGAAAAATGGACACGCGTGTGCGGGGCGACGCGGACCGATGGCGGAAGCCCGAAACGATCGCGAGGGATTCTTCTCTCGAGCGCGCGATCGTTTCACCGTTACGTCGTACGTGAGCGCCTTGCACATTCCTGGACCGTGTCCAGAAACGATCTGAATTCCAAATACCAGCTACCATAATCTGAGATTCAAAGTGCCCGGCGGCCGTTGGTCTAGAATCCCGAGTCGAATTATAGGACCCCGGCTCGCGACCGGCGGAGCTTCGTAGCTGAGATCGAGAATTAGATCCACCCTTGGGTCTCGCTCCAGTTTATCGGCCAATGGTAGACCAGATCCTTCCCTTAAATCTGGGCCAACTCTTTTTAATGCCGAGGCCAACCCCTTTCTTCGACAAGCGTGATCTTTTAACGTACATGCCGGCTGGTAATCCTAGAAGGATGCCCGTGAAAAATAAGTACCGCGGATCGTAACCTTTCGCGGACGGGTCGTTTATTTGCAGAAAGCAAATGTGATGCGCAGCGAACGGAAATAGACTCAATACAATGAATCCATTCTGATAATATTACGAATTTTGCTCGTAAAATATCTCTATCGTTTGATAAGTCCCGACGATATTATCGAATGAGATACGCGACAAAACATTGTATAATATCGTGTAACGTACGATATTTTTTTATATCCGTCTAGAAGATCCGACTTTCGTCAAACTTGAATATTTTTTTGTCCAAAGGCACAGAGCAAGGGAGGGAATTAATTCAAAATTATTGTATATAAAATGTAATTATGATTTTTACTAATAAAAAGATAATAATATCACGTTATTAGTCGCGAACTTTAGATGTGCATTTAAATGTAATAAATTTCAAAGGACAACCGCGAAGTGCTTCACATTTTCATCTACATATTACTCTGATAATATTGTCTAATTCTCATAAATTATTATCCAATTACATATTTATCTCAATATTGTGCTGGATATCGATGTTACTGTCAGTATTATTTTACTTCAGACGAAAAAATTTATCATTATTATCGTAACCATTAATGACTAGCACAACGGCGGATGATAATCGATTATGGATCTTAAAAGATCGGAACGTCTTAAATTGATATTAGTAGCATGGTAATCTAATTTTTTAAATCTTAAAGTATTAAAATGTAATGTTGTACTTTCCAAATTCATCTCTTTTAGCTGAGAAAAAATTCCCGTTTTTCCAGTTCATTTTATGTCAATCTATAACAATATATTGAAAAATATATATAGAAAAGCGATGTCAGTTTCATGCAACTGTACTAAGGCTGTTAAGTAGATACGTAGGATAAGCCACTAATGAGACCACCAATAGGAGACTTGATTACCAGCAAACTCGTCCACTTTAGCTTGTTCCTGCATTTATCGTTCGACTACGCGCCACGTTAACAATACTATGCAGCTCTCGAGACGAGGAAACATTGCAAAGTTCGGCGATAATGCCGCCTTGAGAAATTCCTTGAAAAAATTTAGCATTCCACTGAAACACCATTTTTAATTGTCAGGCAAATGCACGTCGGGCAATTTCTCTGGTATATAGTAAAACGCAATTTTATATTTACGAGATATTACCTCAATATCGTACGAAACTTTTCAGAAGCGAATATCTCAATAAATTCCCAGCTCATATTATTATTAATATCGCTCTGCAACTTTTTGAATAATATATCAATTATAATTTTATATTGTTATTCGCACTCACACACTCGTAAGCTTGTTCCTGCATTTATCGTTCGAACTACGCGCCACGTTAACAATACTATGCAGCTCTCGAGACGAGGAAACATTGCAAAGTTCGGCGATAATGCCGCCTTGAGAAATTCCTTGAAAAAATTTAGCATTCCACTGAAACACCATTTTTAATTGTCAGGCAAATGCACGTCGGGCAATTTCTCTGGTATATAGTAAAACGCAATTTTATATTTACGAGGTATTACCTCAATATCGTACGAAACTTTTCAGAAGCGAATATCTCAATAAATTCCCAGCTCGTATTATTATTAATATCGCTCTGCAACTTTTTGAATAATATATCAATTATAATCTTATATTATTATTCGCACTCACACACTCGTAAGCGCACGTATATACATAGAGACGCAATATAGATGCAAAAATATTACATGCGCTATCGTGTATTAATGCATTATATATACGCCTCAATATCTTATTAATACAAATGCACATTTGATTTCGCTGCTACGAACGTTTCATTTTCTTTTGCCATCTGTCTTAAAACAAGAGAGGTCTAGACGAATAGATCGTATCGAGTAGCACCGTCATCCTTCGCTTTATTATCATCGCTACGATAAGCGCAGTCAACCATTATTTACGCGGCAATTATACGACTGAAAGTCATTGTGTCTCTCCGCATGTAAAATAGCGCGTGCTGAATTCTAGATCATGACTTATGTATCCCGAGCTGTGCGGGAATACTTTAAATCATCACGCGCTCACATTTGGCCATTCAAAGTTATCACAGAGTAATTGTTTACAAAAAATACGAATAACCGTGTTGCCACAGCGTCGTATATGCCTCGCATATTAAATCATTTCATACAAACTCCACGGGATTTTATCCGGAAAATTATTTCGACGGTCACGATAATATCACGAAAATCCAGGTAGTCTCTTGGTTTAAAAGAATCTTTTCAAATATTTCTTAGCTCGAGGAGATTCTCCGCCTTGATAAAATTACACGAAAATTATCGGTAGACACGGTAGGAAACCATAGAGCTGTATTTTCGATTGCATCAACAATCCGTCTTCGTTATGTAAACATTTTCTCACTTTTATTTCTACAAGTTTTGCTCTTGCTGCACGAAATATTTTTTTGCTCGCTATTCAAGAGCGCTGTGCCGACGGCAGCCTGCGAATTACCATAAATGACATCTGACCATTGATACTTTTGCCTTATCGCCCAGCGTGATAAAGAGACTTCGTGCTGCCTCGGCACCGATGAGCGCAACTTCATTAGCAAGTAAGGTCATCGAAGAAGCGCAATATGCAAAGGTGACCGTGTGTCAATCTTCTACGTAAAGTCGTCTCAAATCTTCCGCGAATGTATTATTCATGCTGCCCGACTCGTTGAAAATCGGTATCGCCAATGAACAAAATAGGCGATCTAATGGCATACAGAAGATTAATTATTTCTTATTTTGTCTTTTAACATCAAATATCTCATGGCGTAGCAAGTATTTAAATGTAAAAAAATATAGGAATGCATCGAAATGTGCAATTTTTTAACCTGTTTTATTTAAAAGTCAAAAGTAAATTGAATAAAAACCTCGATTTAGAAAAAAAATATGAAAAGATAGGTGGAACTGTAATCGGTTTTGCTTTGCAGTAGCGAAATGTTGCGCAATTTTTAAAAACTTAACTTGAGAATCAACGATAAACAATTAAAAATTATTTATTAAAGCACGAATTAGTATATAAAATTGATTAATGCTGTTTATCACGAATGCAGAAAGAGCTGTTTCTTCATTTCGTGAAGAATTAAAACACGTGCGGTAATGAAAGCGTTATATTACATCGAGACTTCGCAATTGAGACGAGACGAAGGCTGGACCACTGACGCAGATCATGGCATAGTAGGGACATCTCCGCTCGTATTGGTCGGCTAAACGAAGCCAATAGAGAGCAAGGACGTCACGCTTGCGCAGCCTCTCGCTACGTCCGCGCTCAGGCTCTCATCTTACTGTGGAGCCGAGACTTTGTTAAGAATAATTCAACCGTATATTTTTTAACACTTTGCCCCGACAGAGATGGATATACAATGATTTTTTAACTTTGAGAATCGCACTCTCGGAAAAGAGAGAAAGAAAGCCTGTCAAATTTTGGTTAGAAATTCGAGTAATCCAACTGTAATAAAACAAAAATCTTGATACTGTGAAAGAATAGAGTTTATCTCGAAAACAATGAAGTGATTCTTGTCTCTTAACTTTTTTTACTTTGTAAATTTTCAACTTTCTCAAAATATCAAATAGACTTTCATTACATACACAAACGCACACACGCATTGAAATTATAATCAACTCGGAGATGAGCGGACCGAAGTATTAAAAGTTGTATTTTACGTATAGAAATATATAAGAATACAAAGAGACATGGATATGCTGATTTTTTACGGCGTAAAGCTCATGTACAGTACACATACTTTTCGTAATTCGAAACTGCTTGTTGAATCTCGACAAAGCGGAAATTTCACACCTCTTCTTCGCGCGCAACCCTATTATTATTATATCAAGACCCCGTACCTGCGCCCTGGTTCCGGCGGAAACTGCAAAAACAAATCAAAGCGCGTCCTTCCATCGGACAGGCGGAAATTGTCTTTATTTTCTCCTTCTTTCTCCTAACGTCTCAACCGGACGTGTGTTCGGTTGATGAGAGACATTCGGCCACGATTCATTCTTAAAGATAGACGGTTTTAACTGCACGACAAAATGCTCTCAGAAATTCTTTTCTTTCGCAACTTCGTTATATTTTCATCAAAAGTCATTACTTTAAATTAATTTCGGAACATCTGTGTTTTGTAGATCCAAACAAATACAGTTGAAAATAAATCTATCGTCTATTTTTTAATTTATATTTTTCACCCACAATACGTTTCCTTCATAGATAATGAAGTGCGTGTATTGATCAATTAAAGACCGCTATTTGCATCATGCACCGTGCCGTCTTTTGATTATAATAATCAAGTTATTTTCTTTAACGTTCTGCAAAATTAAACGCATATCGGACGCCTAGGGTACCGTGATTCAATCTCGAACCGGTTTTACCCTCGTGGCTAAGTGAATCAGGGTTACGGACGCGGAAAGGTCCAGTTATAGTCAAAGGTCGTTTACCTGTACACTTCTAGGGGAATAACGCGGGTATCTCATATGCGTCTACCTGTTCGTTACGAGGGTTGCAGGGAAAACCTGATTT